GATCTTGGGAATTAAAGGGTTACGGGAAAAGTATACTGCAAAGTATGTGAGAAGTGGTGGCGTAATGATAAGTGGGCTTGGTTGGGCTGGTTTGTTCATAGCTGGGTTAAGGTAACCCAGGGTAAGCATGAAATTTGATTTCAGATCTAAAAGCTTGAATAGAAAAATTCAGTTTATTAATTGTTTTTGTTTACAAAGTGATGATTGGATCCTCTAAAAAGAGTGGGGAAAATTATCTGAAAAAGGCCCTTGAATATAGAAATAAAGTAACCTGGATTAAAATTTAATCCCGGGTTTGTGCTAATCTACCTTTAAACAATTGGGCCCTGAACCCATTAGTCAAGAGGTGTGGGCAAACACTTTACTCTTAAGGTGCCTTTTTCCACCCATGAGTAGAAGCCTGGCAAAATGCTGAGGGGGTAACCTTGTGCTGGATTAGCATCCTGTCTAGGGGGGATTAGTGATACTCTTAGTTGTTTCATGGCAGGGAAACTGTGATAAGCTCCAGTTGGATGGATTACATAATGGCTGTAGCATAGAAATTACCTTTTTACTTTTTTCACTTTAAAGTCATAAAATAAAAAAGCATAGCATGTAGGAGAAATCTTCACCATCACCTAGACAACTGCATTTATTGTTCATTTTTTTCCAAAGTATGTGTATTCAACCTTTAAAAACAGGTAGAATATGTTTCAAATGAATTTAGGATTGAGAAGAACTTGGGTGACTAAAATCTGGCATGCTTTTTATTGCTTTCACAATTTCTTTGTGACATTTAAACATGTTTACAAATATTGTTTACTGTTAGTAGTACTGATTATTGTTTTCCATTTATTTTTTCCACAGGAACCCTGGATCTCTTTTGCATTAATAGTAAGTGCGTGATCAATATATTCAATTACAAAATACATTAAATTATTAAAAAGTGTTGCGCTATATTTGAATGAATGAAATGTTGTTAAAAAGGGCATTTTGAAGAAGAAATGAGGGAATGCTTTGAGGAATTGGGAAATAGTGCTCATAAATGATTCCTTGTTCCTTTTAGTCAGTCCCCCCATTTCTTAGGGCACCAACCTGAGTGTAACAAGAAATTATTTATACAAATTTAAGAACTGATAACTAATTGTTATTAAGAATACATTCAATATTCACTTGTATAAAGAAGTTGATTTACATCTACAAATTTGTCACAATTGCCTATTTTATAGCTATTATTCATTGCAGTCTAATGACAAATTTATTTATGATGTCAAATTTTTTTGCAGAACATGGTCAGCCAGATCAGATCACAAAATCTCTGGTTCCACAGCGGAACTCACTGGTGTTTTTTGAAGTTACACCTGTTTCATTCCATCAGGTCTGTGTTAACAGTAAACAGTTCCTAACAACTTCATGTGATAATGATAAAATCTCATCTTATACAACCTCATATTATAAACATGGTCTTCCTTGGGAGTTCTTGTAAGTGAGTAATTACAGTGGCAGTTGATTTACTTTACAATTATAAAAGTTTATTATTATTTATTTCAATTTTAAGTTGGTTGTCAACCTTAGGTATTAGTTAATTACTTTAGTTAATAATACAGTAATAGTACAGTCTAAAAATCATCAATTTTTTTTCTCAAAATTTTTTTAATGTTCAGACTCTAAGCATCAGAGTGTGGAATCCAAAGGACTCAGAATTTTTTCTTTGTACCATGCCAGAGACATGACAAAAAAGAACATCTGCTTTGTTAAAAAAATTTCCATGAACCTTGACTTTTCCTTCTTTTAGGTTTCAGAGGTGTTGTCTCTCAGTAAAACCAGGCTGTCAATTAGTGGATGGTTCCATGGGAACATCATTAACAGGCTCACACCATATCAGGAGCCACACCCAAAATCACTCAAACCCTGCACTTTAGAGGTAAATGAGAGACAACCCTAGGAATAATAATGAAATGTGCAATCTAAAAATGTAAGTTTTGGGGCTCATACATAGTCAGCAATCTTTTTGAGGGATCTAATGGAAATTTTCAAACTAATTTCAGAACCCGGAAAAAGTGTGCAAGATAACGAATGGTAAAACAGAAAAAAGTGTGATATAATTTTTTCCTTTGTGCAGCATTAGTTTGCACTTTTCGGGTAAAAAGCTCACAAGGTGTTATTAGTATGGCATAAGGAATCTTTCATTTTTGAGTAAAACCTTGACAACCTCAGCTCTGCTTATGGTACATGATCTGTCTCCCTAAAATTGAAAATAATAGTGTAGTTAAAATCTTCAGTTTTGTGCTTAAAATGTGAGTAGTCTTTGAGAGGTGATATTTCAGCATTAATCTCTTTTGTTCTGTTTCAAGGATGAGGCACTCGTTGATTGGGTCAATCCTATGTACCTTGACACAGGTGTGGTCAAAGATATAAGAGCAAGGTTTAAAGATGAATCTGAAATACAGTTACAAGAATTTCTTTTGGTAAATCTCCACCTCATATCTACATTTGTAACTTTTTCGTTATTGACTGACTGGGAGTGCCAGAGGGTAAAATATTTTGTCCAATTTTGTGAACTATGGGTTAAGCTTAGTAGCCAGCCTGACCTAATTCAGAAAATATGCACAAATCAGAAAACCATCACTCCTTCTATTTTATCCTTTCTTATTGCGCATAACATATTGTGGGGCCATATGTTGGGCTGTGCGGCTTTATACAACCTGTCACACGTAGGCCCACGTAGGAATTTCACAAAATCGTGTCTTTTTCCTTTTTTCTTGAGGGCGGGGGGCGTATAGGTCAAATGAGACCTAGATTCAGTCCCTGTATTTGTAATTCTTTATAGGAGAATAAATATGGGGAAATTCTGGAAGCATTGCGTGATGATATGATAAAATGGAAGTATCAAGGACCCGCAAATAAGAGGTATAGGGTTTGCGCTTTTATTTATGAAACTAAACTTCTGCAAGTATGTAACTGAAGAGACAACGATATGGTCCATTATAGACTGTGGCACTGATACATTGAATAAAACCATAGTGTACTTAGGACCTTTTCAATGGAAAGGATGAAGCAGTTCTGTCGTGCAGCTCTGCTTGAAGTGCTGTGACAAAGGAGCTTTGGTTGTTAAATTTTTACTGACCTTCAGTTCATTATATTGGAATTGCTACTGAATTTACGAGGTAACACTCATAGCTAACTCGCCATAATAACAGAAGATAACTATTTTAGTTTCACTTTGAGAAAACAGTGCTTAAGTTAACATAAAATTTCATTAAAAACAACTTCTACTCATCTACATGCATTACTCAGTGCAAGCCACGTCACGCATTAAGCAGCTGTTTGAGCATGGGATATATATCTACAGTTTTGCATATGAGGTTAAGTCCATGCGAGTTTCCTCTCTATGGCGCATTGCCCTATTTTCTTAAGTATGGGGCTCCGCTCGAGCTCTGCCCTTAATATGTTTTTCAATTAAAAGCTACTTCCAATGGGAATAGTGCATTTGTGTGTTGTTGTCATTGTTGTCATTTGTTATTATTATTTTTTTTTATACATATCTAGCTGACGATCCTGGATTAAACGGGTCTTTTTTGCAGACATTTTGAGCAAGCTAACACAGAGTCAGCTCCATCTGTTGTACAACAGCTCAACAAGCTACTTCAATCTAAGCCAATGTTCAAATTACTCAGAACAATGACTGGACTGGAAATGGCTGATGTACCACTCAGTGATGATGAGGATGATGATGACGACGACAGTGAAGTGGAGGAAAACAGTGCAGTAAGGAAGTTATCATTTATTTTATTGCACTAGCAAAAAAACAGACATGGAAAAAAAAACAGACATGCAGTCGATATAATTGAAAGTAAAAAAACAAAGAAATAATATTGATCGATCATACAACTGTAATTAATCCATGTAGCTTTACAACAATAAAACATTATTTGATTCTCAGCTGATCTAGCACTTGTATTGCTAATCCAGCCCACGTATGTTAACATACTTCGCATAGCATGGCACTTAAGTCTCTTACATGCCGCTGTGTTACAAATTCTTTCTTTAATTTACTTCTGTAGGAGACCAGTAATAACAGAGGCGAATCTTCAAAGCGAGGCCCTTGTTGCCATGGTAGCATCAGACGCTGGACTCACGGTTGTTATACTTTAGTTCACGACACTGATCCTGAAGGCGAAGAATTAGCTTTGGACGTCATGTTATACGTTGGTGGAAAAGGTGATGTTCAAACGGAAAACAAAATTTTGATAGAACTTTTATATCTGATTTCGCTTGCGTCTCTTTTAACCCACAAAGATATTCGAACGCAAAGTTAAAAATAGCTCCTATTCACAACAAATTGAAATATTTTAACTTTACTTACGACAAAAGCTCAGTTTTGGCCGTTCGCTCGAACGTGGTACTAAAACACTGTTAAATTTTAAAAATACGTCAAACGTACTCAATCAATTTCTTCCTGTTTTTTGTTCTGAGGTACATTACCAAAGGCATTGCACATTACCTTTTCGACCTCTACGGAAACTGAATGCCTTTGGGAGATTCCGAAGTAACAGACTGCAAACCGAATAGCAGTACTAAAATATTCTTTTCATTCATGGTCAGGGTGGAAAACCGATTATGGTGGTTACACCACGTATTTAACGAGCGGCGAAGATGAGGAGGTGAGCATTTTTCGTTACCCCGGTAATTCTGCTCGTGGAAAACATTACTCCTTTTCCAACCACTGACTAGCACTACAATTTACTGTTCTATAGATTACTATTTTCTTAGTAATTAACTGAGTTGATAAAGTAAATTGGCCACCATTAAGAGTTTCAAAGCTGACGTTTCGAGCGTTAGCCCTTCGTCAAAGCGAACTTTTCTTAGTTATTAAAGTTGCATGGGCGAAGATTGGCTTTGTGGCCATTTAAGTTGAAGGTGGATCAAAACTGTTTCGCTATATTTGATGCGAATTTTTGGATGGATGGATACTGCAACTTTTTCTAACGATTTTCCTTTAAATGGTTGACAGTTTTTTGCACAAATAGTTACCACGACAACACCTGAACTCTTACCGAACCTCCTGTATTTTAAGATGACGGTTTAGTTTTATGAAACGGAGTTGATAATGGAAATTGGCCACCGTAAAGAGTTTCCTAAGCTGACCTTTCGAGCGATAGCCCTTCATCAGAGCTTAGGTTTATAATTATGAGCAAATAAAAAAGAATCAAACGAACGAGCTAATGGACTCGTAAAAACCTAGCCAAAAGCACTTGTTTCTTTGAACTTCCTGCCTAATTCTTCCTCTACTGTTGATCATAGCTTCTAACAGTCCATCCTCAAGAGAATTCTTTGGCCTTGGTTTACAGAGACAAGGAGACAGTGAGATTTGTGAAACACGTGAATCACTCGGTGCAAACTGACGAGGGAACGGCAAATAGAGACAGCAAATTCTTTGACTTCTCTTTCGTGTATTTTGAATGAGATTCTTACGAAAGTTACTCATATGAGTCAAGACTCAAAAATTTTATCAGTCTCACTTGGTGTATTGCTCACTGGAGGCACGCAGCAGCAAGAAGACAGTGACATTTGAAGGTGCATTTTTCGACGCATTTATTGCGTCTAGCCAGTCTCCTTAGAAGGCTGTTCTCTAGTCTTCAGTCAAACATTTTGAAGAAAAACTGCGATTGCCAAGTAAGGTTCATGACTCACTAGATGAGATCGAAATATTGGCAGTTCTATCCCGCTTTTTGATTCAATCCTTTTTTCCCTACCGCATGTCTCAGAGATTCTTTCGGAAAGAATTTTTCGTTGGCAAAGACCTGTTACTCTACAGCCGTAGTAGATCATCTGGTGATTCAAAATGAGAAGTACCTCTCCAGACTACGTGAAGTCCTTCTCCGTTCTCGGATTGGTCAAACTTAAACTCGGGCCCTTCTATGAATGGTGACGTAACCCATAGACTCAGTGACGCCCTCCTGGATCCCAGTCTTCTCGCGGATAACGGAGGCATAGTTGATGAATTCGGCTTCAACATCGATGAAAGTCACATTGGTATATCTGACGTCACTTTGATGTATAATGCTTTGCAACATGCAACATGTGAACTTTGTCCGACGAAGTCCAATGTAGTGATTTTTTTGTCCCACCGGTAGCTCCATCTAGTCCCAAGAAATGATCTGCAGAAAATATGTTTGCGATGCCAACCTATCAGATTTAACAATATTACATAAAGCAAGCATGGACGTTGATAGAAATCCGACAGTGAATTCTGTAAAAGCTAACTACGATACAAAAAAAAAAAGGAAACCACTATGAAGTATTCAATGAGCATTTTATTTTGTTAACCATCGAAACTTGTTCTACACTAATTTAGCAAAACAAATAATTTATGTGCGATTTGCAATCTCATCTGTCGAGGAGATCTTTGCTTTGAAGCTTTGTATAAATTAAGACCTTGCGGTTGGATTTTATTCAGTAGAGTTCAACTGATTGGTGGCCCTGCAGAGGCGAGTGGTCCTCGGTCCAGTCCCACTTTAACAACATAGTCACAATTCTTCGTGGGTTGAATCTGTCCCCGAATCTATTGACGGTTTAACGTCAGATTTCTCCTCTTCATATTCAGCAAGTTCGATCCAGTTCAAGATATCTTTCTTTCTGTCCTCTCCAACGCTAATCCAGCTGTTTGCAATCCATTTCGTGCCGCGCTTTACGTCGCATCCGCCGTGAAAAGTGTATCGATCAAGTTGACCAAGCCAACCAGTGGAGTTGTCAACATGATGATTGTACCATAGCACAGCTTTCCCTTTCTCTGGCTTAACTACAACATTCGCCTTTTGGCAGTTCTTGGCTAAATTACACACGTTGTTCGCGTCGCGCATCCATTCCTATAATGCAACCACGCAGTTAGTGAAAAAAAAAAGAAAACAAACAAAGGGGTCGTCTCACGGTATTCTGAGTCATTTTCTTAAGTTTATTTTGCATCGTTGTGAGCTCGCAGCTTAAAATACCTTGAATTCTTTATTCCACGTAGACATGTGTTTTTTGACAAAAGGTAACTTTTACTAAGCGATCTGTCCGGGAAGGAAAACACGTTGTTATAATGGCTGAAAGGGCTGGGACATAGTTGTGAGGACCAATAGGGTTTTTTTATATTTGTTGTTATCGCAGATGTGATTTTTAACTCGTGGCCGGCCCCATCTTTCTTGGACAAAACAGAACTGTTATCCTACCTCTTTGTCGAACGTTATGTTGTCAGCAACAGGGAATGCAGTCTCTCCTCCATCCTCGACGTTGTCCAAGAAATACAGTATCGTTGCATATCTGAGTAAAATAAAACTGTTTTCAAAATGTTTCCTCGTCAGCATATCGAAACATTCAACACAATTTTCGAGAAGGAGTAGGACTTTTATTTTCTCTGCATATGCGCAACGTATGATTTCCACAGTAACTTAATATATAGCATATCCTCTGTCACTCGGGGGGGTTTTCGGAGGGGAGAGTTGGGGAAGGGTTGTTTGGTTTTGCCGTGTTTCCCTCGTGTTGAAACTTTGAGCCCAATCAGAACAGGGTCTTTTTTGTCCCAAGAACGTCTTCCGGCACGGTCTGGCACAGGAGGAAAAACCATATGTGGGGCGTCAGCGTTTAGACTCAACCCCCTTGAGCTAGCAAAAGGGGCTCGTGAGAGAGGCTTCGCCCACACCGAAAGTGTCTTCGAATAACCACCTTGATAATTAACCTTACCTGCAAACTCTACAATGACCAAGCTCACTTCCCACATAATGACAACATGGTTTATTGGGCCTGATCAAGTCTGAATCCAGGTGACAATTATAGTGACCCATTGGACCATAAGATACCACCTGCGAAAGCACAAATCTCACGATATTATGATCCATTTCTAGCATCAGGAAGAATTTCTTAGTGACAAGCATCCAATTTCTCCTCACAGAATTACCTCTGCATCAAACTGAAAGGTTATGAGAATGAAGGAAATGAACACTTACTAAAGATGCTTCAAATTATTTAAACAAATTCTCCTTACCAGTATCGTAGGAAATGTAAAGAGAAGTAAAGGAGAATATCACTACTGATCTTATGATGTAAAGGGGTCAACAGAAGGAGGTTTTAGGATCAATGATCATTTGCCAGAGTAGAAAAATAACAAAGTCATAAAGAGACCAGAAGAATGGAAAAGATTATTACGAATTGCACAGGATCATCCTAAAGCACTTCGGGTAAATCTTCTGAGATACAAAAACATAGTGCAACTCCTTTAATGAATTACCAATGAATAACATAAAAGCTGTTTGATAAGGTTAACGAATCGATTTAACTTACTTGCATATACTCGCTGGCTAGAATCAGTTCCAAGGGAAGATTTGTAAGCCGTTGTACTCTACGGACAATGAGATCAGTTAAAGTATGGAAGAAATGAAATACATACTGTTTAAACAGTTAACACAGACCTTTCTGGGGCGAGCAGGCGAAATAAAAGACAAAGAACGAGTGGAGGGGATTCCGCAATTGTCATTTATCATACACCTAACGAGTTCACTTTAGCTGAACTTTGGGAATTTTACGTATTAATTAATTCTACGGACTACCCAGTCGACTTATCGCCTAAGGAAGACTCGCAGTATGCAGTCCAAATGTTCCACTCCACTTCAGAACTTACGAGTACAATATTACAATATCAATATTTCCTTCTGTCATGCATTGCTTATACTTCTAGCTCATAGAGAAGTTAGATATTGGTCACTCCCGGGAGTGAATGGCATGAAGCATGCGGTATTTGATGGGCTCACCTGTCTTGTAAAGACGCCATGATTTTATCAGAATTTCTCGAATAATTCTGAATCCAGGCTTGACGGCTGTGTCGACTCTTTGTATGAGGCTTTTCATCCTTCACTTTTCCTATATACTTGGCCATCTCAGGAATGTCTCTCTGCTTGAATTCTACGAAGGCTATCTTTCCTGAAATTGCAATGGTTCACTGAAATTCAAGACCTTCGTTAGCATATATTGCTCAACGCGGTCATCTATATCTTGAAAAGGATGCTGTCCCATACAATGTTGTTAGATATTGCTATGTAAAAGCGTCTTTCAAATGTCATCCGGGAATCAGTAATTTTGCTTCACCACGCTCGGTGATTGGTGTAGACTCCATTCCCTCAACCAATGAGTTGATTACTCACTACTCGGTCTCTCACGTTTTCTCGCGCTTGCGTAAGGTCGTTCTCATGTATTTATTTTGAGTTTTAATTGGCTTCTTATCACATTTCCTTCGTTTTGATTGGCCGTTGTGATTACGTTGGCTCTGGTGTGCTCAGTAAACCATTTGTATGACCTCTGAATTGTTTCACTTCTCTTAGTGGTTTCATGTTAATATACAGTGCCGATATGATGATCGATTAAAAAGACGAGAGGTTTTAGAATGGTTTTGATAATCTGGTCAAAGCTTAAATTAATTGTCATTTCCGGCCAACCTTGTGTCGTTAATTAAGATGGCCCAAATATTCGGTGACGAACTCATAATTTTAAAACTACTCACCGTCATGATCTTTGTCCAATCCCAAAGATTCGTACCTTCAATAGAGACACGAAAGGAATCGGGGAATCATTCCCCGAAAAACTAACAGTTAGTTTTTGGCTGCTTTTCAAAATGGAAAAAGAAAACCACAAGCTTTGAATTCAACCATTCCCAAGCCATATCGAACCTAATCCTGAACTTGTCACATGTGTTATTTTGGATTTTCTGCAATTTGCCTTTCACGTGTATTTGCAACGAGTTCTCATTCGCGCGTTATACCTTATAGTTTTTTCTGATTGGTCGTTGTGAATTGTAACAATACTCAAATTAATATTAAAACTATTTGACTGTGTTAATGTTTTTTTTGTTTGTTTACCAAACCAGTCCTTGTTCCATTTCCTTACATCGTGAGCAGAGTCTCCTTATCTGGGGTGAAGTCCAAATTAGTTTCCAGACCTTTAATCATCTGTTTTGAAATAAAACGAAGTAGCGGAACTAAATCATTTGCAGGAAAAGTGCAGTCGTTTCACGTCACATTCGTAGCAATTATTATATAACATTGGAAGAGGAAA